TCTCACTCTGTCGCCCAGGCTGGAGTGCAGTGGCACGATCTCGGCTCACTGCAACCTCTGCCTCCCGGGTTCAAACAATTCTCCTGCCTCAGCCTCCTAAGTAGCTGGGATTACAGGCGCCCACCACCATGCCCAGCTAATTTTTGTATTTTTAGTAGAAACAGGGTTTCACCAAGTTGGTCAGGCTGGTCTCAAACTCCTAACCTCAGGCAATCTGCCCGCCTCAGCCTCCAAAAGTGCGCCTGGCCTAGAAGCTTTAAGAAAACTGCTTGGAGAGCTTAAGATAAGTCTTCAAGAGCCTAGAAGTCATAGAATGCTGGTGTCTGACTCAAGCCCAAGAAATCTTAAGAGCACAGAACTTTCTGGTTAGTTGGTCTGATGGCAGAGTGAAATGGGTGACTGCACTGGGATTGGCCTGCACTTTGAGAGTTTCTTGTGGTAAAGAATGTAAGTTTTTCACAGACCATCAGCTAGAGACAGTGTGAAGTTATCTTAAATCCTGTGGAAGAGGCCACCTGGAGGTGAGGGGACCATAGCAGAAAAAACACCATGAGATGTCCTGGGAAGAGGGAGTTATAAGTGACCACTTCAAGAGAGATGCATTTGCCTGTATTGAGAAGTGAAGATGAGATAATCCCAGGAACACTGGCGATGGAGGTGGCAGGTTGTTTCTAAAATGGCTCCCAGTGATCCTCACTCTTGATATTCATGTCCTTCCATAAAATCCCCTCTCCCTGAGTATGTGCTGGATCTAGTTACTTACTTATAATGAATAGAACGTGGCAAAGGGGATTGGATGCCACTTCTAAGATTAGGTTACAAAAACTATGACTTCTATCTTGCTGACTCTTGCTCTCTTGCTTGTCTGCTCTGAGGAAGCCAGCTGCCATGTTGTCAGTTATTCTATGAAGCCTACATGGCAAGGAGCCTAAGGTAGACTCTGGCCAACATCTCATGAAGAAATGAGGCCCTTAAGCCAACAACCTATGAGGAACTGAATCCCATCAACAACTACTTAAGTGAGCTTGGAGGTGGATCTACCCTCTAGTCAAGTCTTAAGATGAATGCCCTTGTGGGAGACCCAGAGTCAGCGGATCCAGGTCGGCCATGCCTGGATTCCAGAACCACAGAAATCGTTGACTAAATGTGTATTGTTTTAAGCCATTAAGTTTTAGAGCAACATGTTATATAGCAAAATATAATTAATATGGAGTAGCTCTGAAGAAATTACAAAAAGAGTTCATGAAGAAAGCAGTAGATACCAGACAAGTGTGTTCATGATTCAGATATTCAGTTAAGATTATCACTCAACTGAACACTACTAGTAGTTGCTTATGGATTTGATATTAACCTATTCTAATTTCCATTCTAAGTCTCATTTAGTTTATACTCAAACTATTGGTTAAAGATGGAAAGTTAAGACAGCAAAAGAACATAGATGTCCAAACAGAAGTTAATGAAGACCATGAAATAGTAATCCTGTATGTTTATTTCAAAATTTTCTGTATTCTGAAATACTATCTTCTACAGCAACCTGGATGAAATTGAAGGCTATTATTTTAAGTGAAGTAAGTCAAGAATCAAAAACCAAATACTACATGTTCTTACTTATGAGTGAAAGCTAAACTATGGGTACACAAAGGCATACAGAGTGGTATAATGGACACTGGAGGTTCAGAAGGGAAGGGAGTGGAAGCGGGGTGAGGGATGAAAAACCACCTACTGGGTACAATGCATACTCAGGCGATGGTATACTAAAATCCTAGACTTTACCACAATATAATGCACCCATGTAACCAACAACCACTTGTACCCCATAAAGCTACTGAAAAGTAAGTAAATAAATACACTTTTTAAAAACAAAATTATCTTTATTCTATCTGTAAATTGGATTTATCTGATCATTATTAGCATTCTCCATCTGAACCAGCATTGAAAGGAGAAAAAAAAATGGTGGTACGTATATCCCAATTTAGCATTTTACTTTTAAAAATTATACTTTAGGATTCTCATTTTGGTGACTATCTTTTCATGTCATATATATACATACATATATTTTACATAAACGGGCTTTATGTCACAGAAGCTACTTATCTTGGAAATTCTTTTTTTTTTTTTTAAACACAGACATTGTTTGTTTGTTAATTGGGTAAGTGGAGGCTTACCTCTATATCTTCCCCCAGACTTACTCTTCCCCAGGTAATCACTACTTTGTTATAAAACAAAGTATGCTTTTCTGTATGTTCACATACATAATCATATACAGATGTTACACTGGCACAGTTTTTTTTTTTTTGTGGGGGGGAGGACTACTCTCTGTGTGTGTCTCTCTCTCACACACACACCACTACAAATATACACACAGGAATCATACTTTATAAAATTCTCTGCATCATGAAAAGTCCTTGGAGTCAATTGCCATAAATTTAATTAATTTGTTTTTAATACAGTGATTGGATAACCTATAATTTATTTAACCTTTCCCCAGGGATGGGCATTTACCTTGTTTTCAGTACTTTTCCCGTTAGAAAAAGGCTGCAGTGGCCGGGCACAGTGGCTCACACCTGTAATCCCAGCACTTTGGGAGACTGAGGTGGGCAGATCACATAAGGTCAGGAGTTCGAGACCAGCCTGACCAACATGGAGAAACCCTGTCCCTAATAAAAATACAAAATTAGCTGGGCGTGGTGGCGCATGCCTGTAATTCCAGTTACTCGGGAGGCTGAGACAGGAGAATTGCTTGAACCTGGGAGGCGGAGGTTGCGGTGAGCCAAGATGTGCCATTGCACTCTGGCCTGGGCAACAAGAGCGAAAGTCCATCTCAAAAAAGAAAAGAAAAGGCTGCAATAAACACACTTACATTTTTATGCACTAGTGCTTCTATTTACATGAGATAGACTTTTAGGAGACTGTTGGATCACAGATTAGAGGTATTTTCCATTTTAGCAGATATTACCAGAGTACATTTTTAAAAGGCTATCATAATTTACATTTCAACCAAAGTATGAAAATGACTTCCCTTCCAATCTTTGACAGCATTAGACATTATTGGTCTTTTAAATTTGCATTTCCCAGATTAATGGTGAGGTTAAGCATCTTTTCATGAGTTTACTGGCCATTAAGATTGGCCTTTCAGTAAACTGCCTATTAATATCATTTTTGTACTTCCCTAGAGGGTTATTTATTTTTATTTTTTGAGACAGGTTTTCAT